CATTTCAATAAAGTGATAAAAATGGTAGGTCAGCGCTGAAACAAAAAAGTTTTGCACTCGGTCCGTTAGACCATGTCTGATATCTGACCTTTCCCCCACTGCCCTTTGACCTGTGACCTCCAATTTTGCACTGGTGATGGGTCCCAATCACACTATACATGGAATATTACGAGCGTAGGTCGAGCCGTTGAGATTTGTGCCGCAATCCCGTATTTCCTCCTATACTTAGGACGTCCCGAATATCAAGACCGTACGTCGCGCGGTTAAGTTTTGTGCCGTAACTGTTGACGGACGGACGGACAGACGGACGGACATTCATGCGATTCTACAAGCTGCATCTGACTTTGTCAGCTGAGCTAAACAAGTGCCACAGAGCGACAGTGCTCAACTGACCTGTACTGTAGCCGGGTATTCTTCTGATAAACCCACTGCCATCGTCGTTGTCATTATCGTTATCGCCGTCAATGTCGTCATCGTTGTCGTCGTCGACAGCATCAGTATCGTTATCGTCGCCGTGTTTATCATTCTCATTGTTCTCATCGTCATCACCGTCGTCGTCGGCGGCGGGCCGCGGCTGCGGTGTTGACGATGGCGGCACCGGAACGACGACGCGTGTCTCCGTCCGCAGCGCTAGCGATCCAGTGGGGAGCCAACGACGCGGGGCCGACCGGCATGCTGCATGGCTGCCGACGACGACGCGGGGCCGACACGCTGCCTGGCTGCCGACGACGACGCGGGGCCGACACGCTGCCTGGCTTGCCGCGAACGTACGCTGGCGGTGCCGAACACGCTGCCTGGCCTGTCCGACGAGAGCGGGCCGACAGCGCTGCCTGGCTGGCCGACGACGACGCGGGCGTCCGACACGCATGCCTGGCTGTCCGGCGGACGACGTTGGGGCGACACCGCTGCCTGGCTGCGGACGGACGCCGACGACGGGGGGCGACCGCTGCCGGGCTGCCGGACGACGATGTGGGCCGACACGCTGCCTTGGCCTGTCGACGACGCGACACGGGGCGGACACGGGCCTGGGCTGCGACGACGAGCGTTGGGGCGAACGCTGCTGGCTGCCGACGAGACGACGACGCGGGCGCGACACGCTGCTGCTGCGACGCGAACGTGGGGGCGACCGCTTGCGGTTGCCGAGGACGACGACGCGACGGCGGGCCGACCTGCTGGGTGCGCGACTCGCGGACGCGGGCTGCGGTAGAGCCGACACACTGCCTGGCTTGGCCGGCGCGCTAACGAGCTCGGGGCGACCGTGCCTGGTGCCGACTCGACGCAGGGCGCGACACGTACTGGTGCCGACGAAACGACGACGGTGGCCGACACGCTGCCTTGGCTGCGACTGGTGTCCGCGAAGGGTCGCTCGTGGGTCGCTCTGAACGCGCGCGTGTAGCCGAGATCTGCGTCGTGGGTCGGCCTAGAACGAGCTGGTCCGCCGACGTCCGCGTTCGTGGTTCCGGTTTGTGCGACGCCGGTGTAGCCATCTCGTCGCGTTGGGGGTCGGCTGAACGGACGTGTCACCGGACGTCGCGGTGGGTCGGCCTCCTGAACGACGCGTGTAGCTCAGTAAACGCGTCGTGGGTCGGCCTGACGACGAGTGTAGCGAGTCTGCATCGTGGGGTCGCAGCTGAATCGATGGCTTGTGCACGAGTCGCGTCGTTGGAGGTCCCGGGCCTGACGGCGCGTGTGCCGACGTCGCGTCGTGGTCGGCCTGACGACGCGTAGCTGACGTGCGTCAGTGGGTCGGCGCTGACGAAGCGTGTAAGCTGCAGTGCGTTCGTGGGTCCCGCGCTGACGACGCGTGTGAGAGGTTCGCGTGGTGAGGTCGAGCCTGAACGAGGTGTAGCTGACGTCGCGTTGTGGGTCGGCCTTGAACGACGGTTGTCGTCGACGTTTGCGTCGTGGGTCTCGGCTCTGAACGGCGTGTAGCAGACGTTTTCGGTCGTTGGATCGGCGCTGAACGACGGTGTAGCGACGTGCGTCGTGGGTCGGCTGCTGAACGAGCGTGATAGCGGGACGTGGTGTGGGGTCGGCTCTGAATCGAGCGTGTAGCCGACGTGTGTGTGGGGTTCCGGGCGTGACGCGCTTGTGACGACGTCGGCGTCGTGGGTCGCCTGACGACGGTGTACTCGACGTGCGTCCGTGGTTCGCTGAACGACGGTTTGTCGGCGAGTCAGTCGTCGGTCTCGTCCTGAACGACGGGCGTGTGACCGCATCGCGTCGTGGGTCGGCCTGAAGACGCGTGTAGCGACGTCGACGGCCCGGTGTCGGTGGGTCTCGGCCTGACGACGCGTGTAGCTGGGGGTAGGATGGACGTCGGTCGTGGGTCGGCCTGAACGGCGGCGTGTGCCGGTCGCGTCTGTGGGTCGGCCACTGACGAACGGTTGTACGCCAGCGTCGCGTCGTGGCGTTCGGCGCTACGGACGCGTGTAGCGGAGTTCGCGTCGGGGTCGCATGACGCGGTGTAGCCGACGTGCGTCGTGGTTCGGCCCCTTGAAGAGCGGGTCGCGACGTCGCGGTTCGGGTGGTCGGCTGAACGACGCGTGTAGCCGCGTCGGTCGTGGGTCGCGCTGAACGCGGGGTACTCAAATCTTTGTCGCGAGTAGTATCGTCTGTTATTTTGATGAGCCTGCGCATCTCGGCGCGGGCTGTTTCGATTTAGCGTTTGTAAGAGAGTGAGTATGACGAGAAGGGGGGAAGGGTAGGGAGTGGGAGGGTTTTTAGGGAAGGTGGGGGGAGAAGGAGGGATGGAGGGGGGTGGGAGGGAAGAGGGAGGGAAGGGGGGAAGAAGTAGGAAGGAGGAGGAGCAGGTAGAGGGGTGGGATGGGACGGTGTGAGGACGAAGGGGGGGTAGGAGAGGAGGGAGGGACAGGAGGGGAAGGGAGGCGATGGGGGGAGATTTAAGGGAAGGGAGGGAGGGAGGGAGTGGTCGCGCGATGCTTGGAGTCGTACATGAGGTGCTTCTGTTTTATTATTATCAATTTAACATTTTTTTATCGTGACCCTGTCGAGTTATATGTGATTACTTGAGCATCGGTTGGTTTCGAGATGGTGTTGAAGCAACAGCTTGCTTCAGTTATGAGAGTTGTAATTTCTTTGTTTTTGATACACTGTTTTACACTGATAACAAATAGTCATTCCTATTTATTGTACTGCATTGCTGAGGTAGTAAATAGAATAAAAAGTTGTAGCAAAGAGTTGAGTGAGAAAATTAGTATATTAGGCGTTTTTCTTTACAATGCTATCATTTCCATAATATCTGTATATTCTTTCTTTATATATCTGTCTCTTTAATTTATGGTGCTTATATAATGATATAGGCACACGTGCATAATATGTATAATTATGACTATATAGTATATTATTATTATACATATATATATATATATATACAGAGACGTATATTGAAAATATCTACGTATATTAAACGTATATAACGTATATCAACGTAGATTGACGTATATTTGGTATATACCAAACCCAGAGACGTATACAGAGACGACGGCCTCGGAATTCTAAACAAGACACCAAAAGAAATCGAAAACGCAAAGAAAGATATTTGCAAAACTTTCCGGGACAATGGTCTACGAATAACGATCGAGGCGAATTTTTTGGATGTGACACTTGATTTGAGCTCGGAACAACACAAGCCGTACATGAAACCAAACAACAAATTGCAGTATGTTAACATCAACATACTCTAACCACTCACCGGGCATTCTGAAGAATATCCCAATTGGCAGGGGGCAAGCGACTCTCCGAGATATCCTCCAGCGAGGAAATTTTTGAAGAAGCGGCACCCACATATCAACAAGCATTAGACGACAACGGACGACGGAACTTCAAGCTCTGCTACGAAAAACCCCAAGCAGCAACCGGAAGAAGAAACAAAGCGCGCAATATCATTTGGTACAACCCTTCATACGACCAAAATGTGAAAACAAACGTCGGCAAGGAATTTTTACAAATCGTAAATAAGTGCTTCCCTCCAGAAAACAAACTCCACAAGATTTTCAATAAGAACAATATGTTAAGATCTCGTACAGCTGCATGCCGAACGTGAAGAATATAATAGAGGGAAACAACAGAAGAATACTGCAGATCAACACGGAAACGGTAAACAACAGAAAATGCAACTGCCCGAAAAAACGTATCGTGCCCCCTGGATGAAAACTGCCTTGCTAAAGACATAGTATACCGAGCAACAGTGACAAGCGAAAACAAGACAATAAAAAATTCTCGCCTTATGAATTCGGACAATATGAAAAATCTCCAAAGATCATTTAGTACTGTTATGCTCACTCAGTACACTACAGAAGTTTCACATTTCCTCTTATAGCGCCCGACGTAATAAGTACCGGTAATTGTTATATAGTGCCTTTACCTTATCATATGCTCTATAATACTGAATTCAGATCGATGTGTATTCGAACAGCGATGTGCATTACAGTTAATTCTTCTTAAACAATAGTAAATACGCCTGGTATTGTGGTTAGTCGGGGTTGAACATGCGTCCAAGGTTCAACCTTTTGAAGATTTAAAGTGTTGAGTAACGAGTACGAGTACGAGTACGATAACGATAATAATAATAATAACGTACGATATATAATAATATCTATAATATATATAATATCTGAGGATTTATATCACCAGAGGATTTATATTTTGTGATGTATAATAATATAATAATAATAATATATATATATAATAATAATAATAATAACGTACGATAACGAGTACGAGTATTGCACTAACAAAATCGTATGTGAGTAAGGTGCTCTTAGATTCACTCGGAAGTGTTTATATCGCGTATATGTGTGCTCATATAAGTCATATCAGCTCACAAAAGTATATAATATAGCCTACCTCACAAGTATGGTAAAATATAGCTCGAGTACTGTAGCCCTTGTTGCCGCAAGGGCGGTAGTACTGGAGCTAGGTGAAATAAAGACCATGAGGAATTAGGAGACAAGATCGATGGTCTACAATGCACTTCCAGCTTCAGTATTCAACAAGATTGTTCTAGATAATTATTTTGTAGAGTTATTAGCCACATAGTCTTTCGATGACTGGGAATCAATAGCGGAAAAAAACACAAAGATAATATTAAAATTTAGGGAAGTTGTCACACATTCTTACGATATTAGGCTCCTTCTAAACATATAAGTCCACCAACAGAAAATGTGATAATTTATAATGTAGCAAGTTTAAAAAATAGCAATGAAATAAATGCGTTTTTATTTATTTTAGAGACAGCAGGGAATAAACATGTATCATAATTTCTTATATTTCTTATTATTAATATCTATGAAACCCTTCAATTTGAGTACCATTTGATATTAACAAGAGCAGATAAAGAAGGCTTCTTTATCTGCTCTTGATATTAATAATAAAAAATATATATGTGTGACTCCTGTTTCATGTGTAAATGGTATTTCAGCTGGCATAGTATGGACATATTTTGTACTCATAATACTAATAACTGAAATAGTATGCATTCAAACATTGTTATGTTTATTAATGAATGTTAATTATTACTGAATGTTAGTTGCTTTATTAAGTAAATAATTGAGAATGAGATATAACTGCATGTGTATGAACGATGCAATGAGAAAATGGTGATGGAGACATCAGATGTTCATGATGACAATTACAGAAACGTTGGTGCGGATAAAAAATATTAAGGAAACCTTTCAATAAATGATGGACTGAAAGTAATTTTAGAATGTCTTAATTCTCATATGTACAAATAGCTACTTGGTAAACTCGAAAGTTTTTCACACATGCATCTTTGCGTTATTGGCTTAATTAGTACTGAAATCATTTTACTGGTCCTTTATAAACATGTATTCCTATACCTAAAAGGATAATTATACTCATAATTATACTAATAGATATCAATTATACCCAAGCATTTTTCCATTTATCAACTAAGTAACAGACAACAAATAACAAAATACGTATTTGTTCTACATGTATAAAGATATATTGAAGTTTGCACACATTCTATATTGAGACAATCTTGGTTAAATTTTATTTTATTTTAAACTTGAACACAAACACAGTACGTACGGTTCCATGCACTTGCTATCACACAGAACGGAAGCAGCGAGCGATTTATGTACAGTTGACATTTGGCAAAAGTTTACTCTCGCGCATGCTCAATGCGTAACTACGAACTGGCTTATTGCAAACACGCAAAATATCTTTCGTGTTTGATTTTTCTGGCTGAGCGCCGAATGCGCACCTTGTGCGGGCTCGTTTACGTGCGCAAATGGCGCGCGCGTTTAGCTCAGCGCCGTTGGCGCGCGCCGAATGCGCACCATGTGCGGGAGCCTTTACACTTTGGTAGGACGTGCCCGCGGTCGCGTGCGCCTTGCCGCGGAACTGCGCGCAATATTTCCGCGGTCAGCGGTCAGGATCAACGCCTCCCTTGCGGGACGCCTCTAGTATCCGGTCTCTTCTGTATCAAATCATTTAATCTGCAATCACATTGACACGTACTTAGAGTGATGCCATGACCCACACGGTATATCGTTCGGGTTACAGGGTGTGGCAGAGGTAGGGCAATTTTCTTATTATTACTCCTTACCAGCTGGAAGCTTCACACCGCACCAGGCCATCATCAGGCACATCCGCATCTGTGATCTTTTGTATTCTATTCCTGTGTCCTCTGATATATACGTGTACAGTAGCATTGCATGTTTTTATTTGGTAATTCCAAGTGTTTCTTGGTGGTCATTGGGTGGATGAAGCCAGGAGGATTATGCCGTCCTGAACCACGGATGAAACTCTTTAGGTAACGCTTATATAAGGCGCTTCATGGCATACACGCACCTATGATATTTAACTCACTCACTCAGGAAACGCAGCTGTTCCATCCTTCATTACAATAACATAGTATTTATATATAAATGCTTTCATCCCGAGCCGTCACTGACCTTACTACATACACAAATATTCTTTTCATGATGCATAGAAATGAATACGACTGCGTCGTGCCAGGTCATCACTAACCAGAGCGCGTACAGCTGTTCCTTCCGATATAATAATATTTAACGGCTACATAATATCACGTCGCACACATCAGGTCAGCACTGTTGCCCACTCCTCTGACATTGCCCGGTGAGTGCGTTTATCATTGACTTTCATTTTCTAGATTAAGGCTATAATAGTTGTAGTTACATATATGTATTGTATTTTATATCGTATTTCGAAATATGTTATTGGTTTATGTTTAGTTTACTGATAATGTCGTATATACCTATGACGTTACTGATGATATAGTTTGTATGGTTTAGCGATGATCTCGCACCATACTTACACGGTTTGTTAACAGGACTCGTATTAGAATATGCAAGATAACCGCTTACTCCCTCCTCCTAACGCACATCGCTCCTTACTTTCATACAATCCTTCACTGATATGTATGTAAATAGAAGTAAATCTATTCAGATAAATAATTGAATGTCGTGATAGAGGAAGTGGGTGCAAGAAAGAATGTAGCGTAGCTACGTGCATCTGCACCTTTCTCACTCGGTGTGATGTGACATCGATGAGAATAGCACATTGGAAGTTGTTCACGCCGCAGTCAGTGTTGTGTAGTATTGTTGAGGTAAAATAAGACCATTTTTGGACATGGTGTGGCGGTAAAAAGAAGGAAACAGAATACCAGCGCTATACTCAGATCGAGTAGGAGAGATCGCAAGCGCGTAGCCAGGGGGGTCTTGGGGGCCCTAAGACCCCCCAATCAAAATCAAAATCAAATTTTTTTTATTTTTTTCTCTCTATTTTCTTGATTTTAAAGCACTATTTTTACATTTAACTCAAAAAAGACCCCCTTGTTATTGTTACTCGCTCGAGGACCACCCCAATCCAAATTCCTGGCTACGCCCTTGAGAGATCGAGCCAACTCTGATCAATAACAGCGACAATGTCAATGAACAACCCACACAGCAGCTACCTGCCACACTTAAGCTGGGTTTACACTGCCAACTTTGTGTTGGCGAATTGGCGAATTTGACCAAACTTCCCAACTCTCTATCAACCGTTGTATGAACTGTGCAGCGCGTTTACACGGAAGACTGCGAGTTGGCCCACTCGATCGAGCGGTCAGCGTCGACCGCGAGCGCCCGCGTGGGGCGATGAATATAGGGATTATTGCATGTATGAATTCGCGAGGTACCGCACGTACAGGCGCAAAGAATCGAGCACAGTCACAGAGTCAGGATGCCACAAGGGCAGTGGATTACCGGAGGGGTGGCCCATTGGATTTGTCCATGCTCGTGCTGCCGACCTCTTCTTCGTGTGCACGTGCGCGTGTACGTGCGCGCACGCGTGTACCTACCCACCGTGTACAACAGGTGTACGTGAGTGTACGCATCTGCCGTACACAGATGGACATGACCGCACGCGTGCATGTATACGCTCATACATGCGCGCGTATACACACATGCGCGCACGTACACGCGTGCGTGCACATACAGTGTTTGAGTTTATTCTTATCATTCGCTTTTTATTATTTTAATGTTGCTATCTTAAGCGTCACTAATCGATACCGGTAATTTAGGATATTTACAAGGCCTGTGTGATTAGTTCCTAGAAGCGTAATTGTTACGTTTTTAAATGCAAAACTGAAGTAATTTCTTGAAATTGTCTACATATACATATTAATACATATTAAATTAAAACAGATAACACGATCAAGCAGGTATAGAAATGGTACGGCCGGGAGCCATTGTACTCGTAGCGTGTACCTTGATTCAATGCGCAGACGCTAATGAGGCAATGAACACAGGTGCGTATTATTTACTAGCGTTGTATAATTAATAGCACTACGGTGAGGGACATATTCAGAGTGCATCGTCTGACTGAGAGTACTTCTGATGAATTTGCAACAAACATACCATTGATGAGTAGCTAATAAATCGCATTTAGGTTGAGCATAGACTGAAGGGATAATTTATCATTATTATTTAATACGTGTTTTTAAGTGTACTTGCTCCGCTCTCCCCATTTCTGGTGGTTACGCCAGTAACATGCCATGAACAATCTAGATTATTATCTGGTTGTATGTTGGGGCAACTGTGGTAATGACGATGGCACTCATTGCCACTCAATATAAATGTACTTTCAGATAACCAGGACAGTAACCCTGGGCGCGGACGCATTATAAGGCTAGAGATACTACAACCGGAAGACTTAGAGAACCCGTTAGAGAACAAATTCCAAGTAGCTTTGAATGAAAACCCAATGACTGATCATGTGAGGCAAAATACGTTTAGAAATATAGCAATGGAACAGCGTCATATTTAATAGGACGTAAATTTAAAGCGGTAAATATTGCATATGATAAGAAATGACAGCTGAAATAAATAATGATGTTAAATGAAATTTATTGTTATGCGCGGCATTCCCTGTACATAAACCATACACACACACGCATCCCGCAGGGGCTTGGCGGAGGTTATGTTTTCACCGGCGTGTCTTTGAGTGTTGGTTTGTGGGTTTGTGTGTTCCCATGCACGTTTCAGTTCACTTCCGCTAGGTGCGCTGGCTGTAGACTTACAAACACGCAACCGCAGGCTAAGGGGCAACCACAGACCTCCCCCACCTGCACGCTCGCACTAATCCGGATCCAATTAATTATTTAATTAATTAATTAATTAATTAATTAATAAAAAAATTCACATTGAGAGAATTCAGCTGCCTTGGCGGAGGTCTGTGCTCTCCGAGTGCTCTAGTTTAATAAATTAAACATCATCGTGTCTACATTATACACGCTTTGTTATAACTTGCTAGGAAAATTTATCTACAGAATATCATAATTTACTGTCTTTAAATTAGTTCATAAGCTGCTAGCTTTACTAGTCTTCACTGTTCAGACTGTGAAATTCCTTGTACAAAAAAGTGTTAGGCATTGTAGTTGGTAGAGTTGTTCACTCACGACAGTAAGATATAGGTGCAGGTCTTGATAAAACACGTGTCTCGGTTTTTTACACAGGACAGGCAACGGGGTCGAAGTGCCGAGGAATATCATCAGCAAGCAGCCATGTACCACGATATAATGGTCGACTTTTGTAAGAACGTTGGACTACCGGTACTTGATGCCTAAAACCACCTAGCTATTATAGCGCAATATAGCAACGCAATATAGCGTACTATTTTAAAGACTCTGGTACCAGCGGAAACGCATACTGATTTACTATACTGAATATGCTACCAATATACTAATACTATACTAATAATATATAATAATATACGATTACTGGGGTAACGCTAACGACCGTACCTCACAATTAGTTGTAGTGCATTAGGTTTATCACGTGAAAGGAGAACCGCTGATCAGAGGTACGTTCACCCACTACTGTATAATGCTATATAATCTTTAGGAGGATATGCCCATGGAAGAATGGGATGGTTTGATAGAGGGAGACATAGTGCCAACCATGAACGACCTCAGAGAGCTGCGTGACGAGATTAGAACACCTCATAGGAGAAAGCGGAAAATGACTTCGAACACGGATAATTATTGGACTTCTCCCATCCAGTACATCATTGATGCCGCCATGCGTGAGCGAGTGTTATTTTATATATTATGTTTAATGGGAATGATGAGGTGTGACTAGAGAAACCGAGACGAAGCGAGAAGATGCGATAATTAAAGCTGAACTGAGATGAGCCGACAAGGGCGATATAAGATAAATTGATGACAAATGATTGAGCAAACATATTGTGATAGTAATTAAATACCCCGTATACAGACTGCATATTTGATACCACATCAAACTAGTCAGGGCCAGGCCCTGGCAAATTTTGACAATGTTTACATGCTAAATACGCGCTAGTGCGGACTAATCTGGCCCCGCAATAAATGAAAGAGGGCCAGGCCCGCTTTGAAGCGTGCCAGGCAGCTTACACCGCGCTCAACTGTGTGTGTGTGTGTGTGTGTGTGTGTGTGTGTGTGTGTGTGTGCGTGTGCGTGCGTGCGTGTGCGCATGTATCTCCTATTATGTACTCTTGATATATATATATAAGCTCAGCTTAGGCTCAGAATTGTTCTAATACATATCGGCAGTGACCTCTATACTGATGGCCACACGTGAAGCGCAACAACATATCGATTCGTCCCCGGATTTCCGGATGTCCGCGAGGTAAATGTAGCACTTGTTTATTCTGTTATCTTCTGCTCATCAACCGTCGTAATACGCATATATTACCTCATCCATAATAATAATAATACGGATAATGAACGTATTATACAGCAAAATCACACCCACGTGGAGTAGCTGTTTGTTAGCAATCTCTATCTATGCACACACACTTACACACACACACACACACACACACACACACACACACACACACACACACACACACACACACACACACATGTGTGTGTGCGCGCGCGCGCGCAATATTGAGGCTGGCCTGCGTTAAATTTCGCAGTACGCACGCGCATAGCCTCATTTAGATCACATAAAAGTACAGTAGCTATCTGCCGAATGACGTGACTAGCTAAACTGAGCATGCACAGTCAACCCGTGCCAACCTAATTAACACGCTTCCGAATTTTGTGTCTGTACGCTGCGATTTAGCGCGCGCCTGGCCTGGGCCTGGCACGCACTAGTTTGAAGTGGGATCAAATTTTGCAGTCTGTACGGGGTAATCTATATAATAATTTGAGTAGTGTCGTTCTGTTTGTTCCTGCATAACTTCTAGGCGCGTGAAAATTTTCGTGCTTCATTCCTACGCATCAGGTTCGATTCTAACACTTTGCTTTTTGTCATTTATTGGGTTATATGTTTAAAAAAACCATATTTAGAAAATATAATGAAAAATATCCCTGGAAAACATGCATTTCCACTGCAAGGTTACGCGACAGACTACTGTATCCCTTAGCCTGTGGTTGCGTGTTTGTAAGTCTACAGCCAGCGCACCTAGCGGAAGTGAACTGAATCTTCGCCAGGGCACACGCGCTGGCTGTAGAATCAAGTCCTTTCCCACCTGCACGCTCGCACTCAGCGCATATCTATCTATCAATCTATCTATTTTGCTATCTATCTATCTATCTATCTATCTATCTATCTATCTATCTATCCATTCATCAAATATGAACCTGTGACCCTTGACCTTGGGTGAAAGGCACTCAAAATCAATAGGGTTCCACCGCCCCCAAGGTCCACGTCTGGACCAAGCTTGAAGTTTCTACCTCTAACGGTTGCAAAAATATCGAGCAGACGGACAGACACACGCACACGCACACGCACACACACATACACTCACACGCACGCACACACACACACACACACATACACTCACACACACACACACACACACACACACACACAC